TTTGACCTTTATCTGTTAATTCATCTAAAGATATTGTTAACATGTCAGATTTATTTACTAATTCAGTAATGTTTTGATGCATTACGCACAGACTGTTACACGAAAAAACTGAGAATTATAGTTTGTGTTTTTAGAGATTTCACAGTCAGTTGTCACAACAGATTTAGTCATTTTGTCTGAAATTATGTATCAGGACAGATTTTACATTTTTCTACATTCAGTTTGGGTACAAACATCGTTATACGTCATTTTATCGGAAATAATTGTAACACTATTAGGACAAATTTTACATTTCTCATATATCTTACATTCAGTTTCAGTACAAACAACGTTATACAATTTAAAAATTTGATCGCGTTCGTTAAATGACTCTAATTTATTTTGAGACTACATATTTTTTAAAATTACTCTAAAATTACTTATATGACTGAATTAATTGCTGTTTAGTACAATTTTTAGTAGTTACGTCCGTGTACAAATTCGATGTATTTTTATTATCTGTATTATTTTGGGGTTCAACAATATTATTGATATGTGTTAATTTGTTTACGTAGTGTAAGGGGTACGGGGTTTAATTCTTTTCTCTTTTTTAAATATTGTCAATTCTACTTCCTCCTGGTCTTTTAAATTTATTTCTTCATGCTGTAAATAAGCCTGCTTGAAATTATCAGAAGGTATCATTGAAGTAATATGTAATATGCGTAGTAGCTCAATGGAAGGTACTGATTTTTTTCACTTTGTGAATACCTATATATATAGATATATATAATATTTTCTTTATATAAATAATGATTTTTGTCGTTTTGCTAGTTTGGTTGAGGGTGAAAACTTAGGATTCTCAATATACCCAATTCTTTTATGCGTGTCCACTATTTTTATGTATTTTTCTAATTGTATCGTGAGACTATTTATAATTATTAAGAATAACGATAATCTGCATATTTTCAGTGAAAAAAGAATTTTAATGTCTAAAAGTCATATGTCAAATAATCTGTGAGCAAAGAGTAAAATATCTAATGTTATTTTGACTGAAATAAACTGTTTATGAGGTCTGGTTCAACGAAAATCGAGATTTTCAATACTAAGTACGTATGTAATAGTATAAAATATTTATTACAGAGAAAACTAAAACTAACAACTAAATTTATCAAACATCTCTACTACGTGCTACATGAAACACTACTCGCGGTATAGCGCCAAGAAAGCTGGCTACTTTTCCTCGCTGAACTACTTGTCATTTGGAAAAGAAAAGAACCAGCTCTCTTGTCTAAAACAGCAACGAAGAGTTATGGATGCAGTTGTTTAAGAAAATTATTCGCACGTAGACCTCACTAACCGATAGTCTTATAATTTTACTGTGCTGCTTAGTGCCTCTAATATCATCCGGGCTCTAAAGTCTCTCTAAGTCTGCTATTTCCAAGAGTTCTAGTCCTCTGAGCTGCTCCAGTGAGCTACTTCACATAATGTAGTCAAAATATTTTATTCCTTTGATGGTCCTTTGATATGCAAGTTATCTCAATATTTTCCTTCAACGTCGAACAAACTTTACATAAATTATAGAATACTTTCTGGGCTGAAGCTGTTCGATACCAAACTTTAACCCACACTTTTGTCTAATTAATTATTACAAATTTTAAATATGCTATTTCTCAATTGTTTTTATAAATTCATTAAGGTTGCCTATGTATGTTGTAGTATGGTTGAACATAAGAAATTCAAGAAATAACTTCTGAAAATCGTCGTGGAACATGGAGTCACACTTGTGAGATTTGCTATTGTTTACTGTAATAAGTATAGAATTGAGATTGTTTAATCACATAATATTTATAAATATATTATGTTATTATACTAAAATTTAAAGCTTTTTAATCATCATTACTAAGAATTTCGCAAAATATTTAACAAACTTATTTTATATACTTACGATATTTTTTCAACGTTTCTATTTTATTTTTCAACTCTTCCTTTTTATATTAATATTGGTTTGTTTTTTGTAAATTATAATTTCGAAGGTAGTATTTTGATGGGAAAAATAAATAAACATTCAGAATTACTTTTGTTTGAATTTGTTTGTGGTGACAGTATGGAGTATACTGTAACGGGGCATTACGATTATACGACTAACTAATAAATCAAACAAAGTAAAGTGTTTATTATTTTATAAATATTCTTAGTTAAATATGTATTATCTTTTTTAAAATATATTTATGTTATATATTAGTAGTTACTTCCAATTTGTATGGTGCTGAAAATGTCATCATAATCAATAATGCCCTTCACAAGTCCACTGTTGAACATAAGCCGCCTCAGAAAAAGCAACAAAATATGGTTATGAGACGACTGCAGACACTGAATGTATGTCCGTCATTCCATCTAGTAGAGGGCCGCCCTACACTAAGATTTAGAACAAGTTGCCAGAATCCAAGTATTACTCTGTGTCATACTTCTCTTTTTGAATATCAGATAATCCTATGAACCCAGCGAAACTTGTCTATACCTTCTTCTAGTACCGGGATTTTCTCGTCAGTTCTCAGGGTGCGTGCATTAAATGTTGCTTGGTCGAGTCGTTGAAGATTGTTACTAAACCTCTGTCAGATATTCTTATCACCCCCTGCCCCGCCGTTACCATGGTCATCACCAAAGCCAGCAATAGATGCACCACCAAGGACTGGGACTGTATTTTGTGTTTTGTGTCGTTTCTCATGGTATGGGGTAGGAGTGAGATGTAACAGGAAAATCACATATCTGCTCCACCTGTTCCAGTGCACATAAATAAGAGTTCCAATTACCTGTTACAAAATGGCGATTTGTTACTACAGTCTTGGTATTGGTAAGTACTTCACTTTCTAACTAAGATGTTGATAAGGACAGAGCTTTTGACTACTGTAACAGGGTTTCATAGAGTAACAGTAAAATTTTTTATCTTATTATAATAAAGGTAACCGTCATATTATGTAGGAATAAGGAAGAACTTGTGACTGTAGTTTAATGAATTTTGTTATCTCGTGGAAAAGGAGCTGTTATTTCAGTTTGTCATAGTAACAGACTTCTATTTTAAGACTTTCATAGGGTTCTTATCTTTCTAACTAAGGTGTTGAATCTATGCGAGAAAAGGAAAGAGCTAGAGACGAGTAACAGGATGTCATGTAACATATTTTACCCAATGATTTCAAAAGTATATAAGTCAATGATTTTACCTTATTTTGACAAAGGTAACTGTCATATGTATGAATAAAGAAAAACTTGTGACTGTCTTTAAGTGGATTTGTTATTTCGTGGAACAGGAGTTGTTCTTTCGGTTTGTTTATCACAGGTACAGTCTGTTGTTTTTAAGATAGCTGTTTTTTTCCGTTACGATAAATACGCCTCACTCCTAGTATGTTGCTATAGTTGTCATGCTTGGCGGGTAGGTTGTCAACCACAATTTTTTATTACTAAGTTGTTAAATAAAATTGTTTCCACCCGTTGCCTCTTACGACAACGATGGGATGAAAATTTGTGGTATTAGACTTTATACGTCGCCACTACACGGCTCAAGATTTTTAAAACGTTAATTCATATTTAATATCAAATAGGCTGGGCTGATGCATAGCTAAAAATAAAGTTAAAAGTTACAGCCTATATACGTCCCACTGCTGGGCATAGGCCTCCTCTCATTTCTGAGAGGGTGTTAGGGCAAGGAAGTGTCCACCGCGGTGTCCCAATGCATGTTGGCGAACTTTACATGTATTCGAAATATTTTTTCTTATTTCTCAGACATGCAGGTTTCCTCACGATGTTTTCCTTCACCGCCGAGCACGTCGTGAATCGGCACTTAAAATTGCAATTAAGTATTTCATTGGTGCCGGAGGGGATCGAACCCGGTTTGCTCGCGTACTGTGAAATTTACAGCGAGCGCTAACCATCTGAGCTACCACGGGTCTCCAGCTAAAAATATGGTAGGGAAACTGATGAAATTTATTTTAAAATGTATATTATAGTAAACTAAAATATTTATAACAAATTAGGGGTCATCGATTGTGCGACAGGTGTCGAGCGGCAAGAAGTAAGGGTTTTGCGAAGGTTCTAAACTTACAAGATTCCGGATTAAATATTTATATATACAATAAGAATGATAAGGAGGTTGGTTATTACATTTAAAAAATAATTAGAACTATTGCGAACATTGTTGTTAAATTTACTTAAAATAAACAATGTTTTGAGGTAACTAATTTATATTTTACAGAACTCGGTTAATAAACTGAAGGCGGTTAAAAATATAATAATGCACAACACTAACAACAGAGAACTAGATAATAATCAATTGATAAGGGAAATTAGTAAGTAATAATCTTTTACAAGAATAGTTTTTGGTTGAGCAGTAATTAATTGGATTAAATAACGACATATACTAAAATATAAGTAAAGGATATAAACGTGCCATGAAAGGTAAATAAAGGTGGAGGAACATTGTAAAATGTTGAATACAAAAAATCCAATCCACTTATTATTCTAATATATTTTTCTTAAAATTTGATATCACTTTTCTATATTTCTTGGAAGAATTAATCGCTATTATCTTCATAAATCGCGTTAAGCTACTTTCGATGAGAAATTATACTTCTCTTAACAAAATTGCATAATATGAGTACTGATATGCCGAGAACTTATTTCGTCATAGTTCCAGTAGGTACATTACGTGCTATAAGATAGAACATTTTTATATAATTAATAATGAATTATTTTCTATTTATTTTTTCTGGATTAAGATCTAATGTCTTGCATGAACATTTAAGTATTATTCAGCCGTAATCTTAAAATATTTTTAAGGTCTGTATAAATCTGGTTGTCGTCAATGCAAGTTGCTAATTCGTCAGATTCGTAATCTTGTAAATGATGTGAACATTGTTAACACAAATGAAGTTTTCGGCATTTGTGAACATTGCAAAGCCTCAAATACAACAAACAAGTGTAAAAGATGTGATTATGTATTAAAAACATTTGTAAAAAATAAAGAATATATGGAGGAACATGATGAGCAATGTAGAAAAAGTATGTTGCAAATTAAAAGCCTTCTCGAAAATATTTCAGAAGAAAATGTTGTTGCGGAAAATGAGCTTAAGCAAAAGAGTATTGCCGCAGAAGAATTGCAAAAAATTACTGAATTAATGAAGGTACCTTCGAATAATTACATGATAGATGCACCATATTTTACAAGTCCGAAAACATTAACATTAAAAAACAACGATAAAGACTTAGATGTGCATAGTGAATTACAAAAAAGAACTAAATTCATGAAGGTACCTTCGAATAATTACATGATAGATGCACCATATTTTACAAGTTCGAAAACATTAACATTAAAAAACAATGATAAAGACTTGGACGTGCATGGTGGTAAAAAAGATATTGACAAAACTTTGTCAAATGCAAAACCTGAAATTAAGGGAAAGGTTCTTGAGAATATTTCAGAAGAAAACCTTCTTACGGAAAATGAGCTTAAGCAAAAGAGCATTACTGCAGAAGAATTACAAAAAATTGCTAAATCTGAAATTAAGGGAAAGGTTAAGTATTTGACAAAAAAAACCTTATCTTCAAAAAAACTTATTAAGACACCAAAAGAAATAAAATTGAAGAATGAAACCCTGAAAGCTACATCTAATACGAGTCAAAAACTATTTTTGAAAATGATACAAAGACAAAAAAAGAATCGGAAAAGAGAGGAACATATATTGAAAAGATTAGATAAGATACGAATAAGCGATTTGCCTCCAATACCTCTCAAAGTATTAGATGAAGCTGAAGAGTCTGAAGAATCTGGAAGTATCGTTGAATGCGTTGATATACATTTTCTGGAACCTACAGAAATGATAAAAGGGGACCAAATTGTTCCCTTTAGTCCACACCATAAGCAATTAATAGTTAATAATTTAAAACCTTTGTTGTTTGAAGTTCAAACAGATATTTCCTGTGACATGTCCCTCACTCAAATTAATAATAATTCGAGAATTCTTCAAAGTGAAAGAAGTACATTAGAGGTGAGAATTAAAATAAATGTAACCCTACAAAGTTTTAATCAGTTTTTTTCAATTTATATTTAACTGTTCGATAGAGCTATAGTATTTACTACGAGAAAAGTACATGCCGGCCAAAAGTTTAAGACCACAATTAAACAACATAATTATTGTAACGAAATCCCATAAGATAAATAAAAGAAATGTACACCTGCATATTCGATTGTCAATATCAAATATCTAAAGAAGTCCTTCTTTTATTCACTTTCAAGTTATTGGACAATAAACATGTATCGTTTTCAAACACCGACAAACTCTGCATTAGAGCCAGGTGTTAGAGTCGTAATAATATTTTTATGATGGACTAATACCTAATTGATTTGCTTTTGTTTCCAATTGGTCAATAATTAGAATAATTTAGCTTCTAAAACACGTGTTTCCGACTTATTATTACCTAGGTTTACATGGTTTTGTTTACAGACAATCTCCATTAGTCTAACTTGTGGTTTCTACAGTGAAGACGTTTTAAAATGGGAATAGCACGCAAACTTAACAGTGAAGTGCGTTCTGCCGTCGTTGTTTTACATAATGAAGGCAAATCCGAACGTGAGATTGCTTTACAATTAAAATTATCGATGACTTGCGTTCATGGCACAATAACTCAATACAGGGAGACAGGCACTTTTCAAGATCGTCGTTATTGTTGTTACCAGAAAGCAAAATAGATGCTTAACAGCACCGGAAATCCACACTGAAGTAAACAAAACCCGAGTTAAACCTATATATCATTGACTACAATAAATCGGCGACTGAGAGAAATTGTATGGTCGTGTCGCCGTTCGAAAACCTCTATTAAGGCCACAAAACAAGAAAAAACAGATACAATGGGCCTTTGCCCATCGAGATTGGACTGAAGAAGATTTTAAAAAAGTTCTTTGGACCGATGAATACAAGTTTGATCTATTCGGTTCAAAACGAAGAATTTACGTTCGACTTAGTGACCAAGAAAAGATGATGCCAGACTGTGTAGTCCCAACAATCAAGCATGGTAGTGGCTCAATTATGGTCTGAGGCTGCTTTTATAGCCAAGAAACTGACGATTGGATCAAAATTTATGGAATTATGAAAAAGGAAGAGTACAAAAAAATTTGGACAAAATGCCGTTCCTTCGGGGTTGCGATTAATTTGAGATGGATTCATTTTCCAGCAGGACAATGAATCAAACAACAAAAATTATGCAGAGGATATTTGGAAAAGAAAGAGGCTCAAGGGGTGTTAAAACATGGTTTGGCCTCATCAAAGCCCGGATCTCAATCCCATTGAACTTTTGTGAGAAGAGCTCGATAGGAACATCCTTAATTGTGGTCCATCCTCGCGAGAAGAAATGTGGAAGTCTTTGTGCGAAATTTGGAGCGATATATCACAAGACACTATCAACAAACTAATTGTTCGTATGCCGCGACTTGTGAGAGATTTTTTTGATGAAAAATCAGTTTAGCTAACTATAGCCTTTTTTAGCATGGACTGTTAATATTTCTTCACGATTTTCAAGTATATTGATTGTCAAAAAGTGTTTTATTGGATGATTTAACAGTTTAATTAAACATTTAATATTTTATTGGAGTTTTATTTAATTTTCGTACTTTAATTAAGGTGGTCTTAAGCCTTTGGCCGGCAGTAAGTGATAATATCCTGGCATAATATTATAGGAGGGGCAAAAGTAATGTCATAATGTAAATAAGCAGCTATTTTGTTGGAAATGAAACTACATTGGATTTTGTTTTCACAAAAATATTATATGAAGGCGTAAAATAGATAACACTAAGTTGAAAAAAATTATATCGGTCAAATGAGTACCTCCTAGGTTAATGCACATTTTGTGCTCATTTTATGACATTTTGAATTGGTGCAAAACATCCTGCTCTGAATTGGTGATTTTTTTTAATGGTGGCTTTTAAGACTAGTAAGGTTTGTAATAAGTTGTAGTAAACGCGAGATTTCAATTAGTTTCAAAGGAAGATGTTTGGCGCAGTCAGATCTGGCTATCTGGAAGGCCAGTTCAAATCGTTCAAAAAGCTAAAACGGGTGATTACATGCCCCAGAAATTGATGTTTCAAAATCTCCATTGTTGCTCAAGCCGTGTGAGTGGTTGCTCCGTCCTTCCGGAACCAACAATGTTTGAGACTAAATTTAGCAAATTGCAGAAAAAACTTGTTTAAGGTTCGTCTGTAGCACTCACTCATTACGGTTACAGTGGTGATTTCAGCAGCCTCAAAACAATTAGACTCTATCACTTTTTTACTGCCAATGCCGCACACAATTGAAGGGATTCAATGGCTTTTAGTAATTCTATGTGGATTCTCCGTGTCCTCGAAATGCTAATTTTGTTCATTAATTTAATGACTTAAGTAAAAATGGACTACATCACTCAATCATCCTTTCGAAGTCATTCTCTTCTTGCACGCATCAGGTTTAAAATCGAGAGAGAGAGAATGGGAGTATGTTGACTACTTGATGGTCAGCAGGTAGCACTTAGTGAACTGTTTGCACTTTGTAAGGGAACATGTTCAGGTATTTCACTAAAATCCAATGCAATGAAAGTTTGCTGATCCCAAATTTTAGTTGCGTAGTCTGTGACTCTCAAGTCTCACGATATCTGGTGTGCGTAAGATTATTAGCCCTCATTGAGATTGGTGTGTCAAAAATCGTGTCAAATGAAAGTCCATAGACTCTCTTTACCCCTCTAGGTGAGAGGTCTATATTTTTGTATATTATATATTTTTGCGATATTCCCTCTATTCAAGTGGACCCAGTTTGCACGATGCTCAGCTTAGTTATTCGCATACATTGCACAGGACAACAAAATTCACTCTGCCTTGAGACAACAGATTAAATCAGACAACAGACTTGGTCAAATAAGTAGTAACAATAATTGCGCGTTCTTCAGGTATATATCACTCCATTGCTTGTTGTCAACTAATTTTATATCTGTTCACTACGTAAATCGTTAAAGCTCAATGACATTTGACGCCATTAGCAACAATTATAGCGCATGCTCATTAGGACATTACGTGTGCTCCCACTTTTATATAAACTTATAATAGTACGACTTGTGGAAATGTCCAAAGCTCTTGTGGTCTCCTATAGTTTGCCGGTTAGTCATCTTGAATTTATACAGACAGGAAGCAGTGTCAAAGGTTCGAAATGTCTAGTACTGTGATTCCTAATCCCCTAGCTAAGGCTGTCATTTATGTAGACATATTTACAGCAATGGATTATTCTCTGTCTGATAAGGAAGTACAAGGTGATATCATCTATCAAACGTTCTTAACCTTTACGAAAGCGGCAGCAATATTGAACACGGAAATGGCATGTATGTAGATAATTATTTATTTCACAGGGGCAGAACCAGCAAAATAATGTTATTTTAAGATATCAGCTATCAAACAAGAAATTTATAGACGATGGTTGGACTGTGCTGCCCATATTAAAAACTGTGCGGCGGGTAATTTGAAAAAGTCAAAATAAATGAATTATAAAATTATGAACTTTCTGAGAATTTATATTTAATATTAAACTTTTAGATATTGATATAAGAGTGTTGTATGTGACATAAAAAATAATTTTTATTCTTGCAGATCCATATATATAAAGTCATTCCAATAAATCAAAAACACGACTGGTACGAAAATCTCAAGAAAAGGAAGCAAATGTTTTATTTAACAGGGGAAAAATTAATTGAAATCGGTGTAGATAGACGTAGTAGACTTTATTATAGAGATGGCAATGTAGCGTTGGAGTGTTATGATGGACAATGTATGTATATTTCATTCATTAAAGAAATTATAAAATAATTTTAATAATAAAGTTCCCTCTTCTTCTTCGTTACCGGTCACACGATGTAACAATAATAAAGAATATTATCATTAAGTAGAGATTAAATGAATAAACAGGTTGTGTTAATCTATACGAATAAATAAATTTAAAGTGTCTGTTTGTGATATAAAAATAACAGCTTTTTACTAAATGCATATCAAAATATATACGATAGTTATAACAAAAAAAAAAAAACAATTTCGACGGGTCCTACGTATACTAATGCAAGTGCATGAACACAACTTTACAGATTTAAGAACTTGTGAATTTTATATAAATCGATGAAAATGATTGAATATATGAAACGTCATACCTGAATATTTGAGGAAAAAGACGGCATCAATAATTTTATATATTTTTTAAAATTAAAAACGATACGAGACAATTAAATGTTTAATATTCGCGTTGATAGAAGAATCCATTAGAATCATTTGACCTACTGCTGCACACGATCATTCGTTATTCCTAGGAGGAATTTCAGGTAGCCACAGCGCTGCTGCACTTGGGCACTTCTTTGAAATGTTTTAGTTTCGTCGTCATGCATGTCTGATCATTGCATTACTTACGATGCTGCCAACCACGTCATGTATTAGTACTTAAAATTGTAATTAGAAATAATTTAAAATGTTTTAGTTTCGTCGTCATGCATGTCTGATCATTGCATTACTTACGATGCTGCCAACCACGTCATATATTAGTACTTAAAATTGTAATTAGAAATAATTTAAAATGTTTTAGTTTCGTCGTCATGCATGTCTGATCATTGCATTACTTACGACGCTGCCAACCACGTCATATATTAGTACTTAAAATTGTAATTAGAAATAATTTAAAATGTTTTAGTTTCGTCGTCATGCATGTCTGATCATTGCATTACTTACGACGCTGCCAACCACGTCATATATTAGTACTTAAAATTGTAATTAGAAATAATTTAAAATGTTTTAGTTTCGTCGTCATGCATGTCTGATCATTGCATTACTTACGACGCTGCCAACCACGTCATATATTAGTACTTAAAATTGTAATTAGAAATAATTTAAAATGTTTTAGTTTCGTCGTCATGCATGTCTGATCATTGCATTACTTACGATGCTGCCAACCACGTCATATATTAGTACTTAAAATTGTAATTAGAAATAATTTAAAATGTTTTAGTTTCGTCGTCATGCATGTCTGATCATTGCATTACTTACGACGCTGCCAACCACGTCATATATTAGTACTTAAAATTGTAATTAGAAATAATTTAAACGGCACTGGCTTGGGGAACCAAAAAAACCAAATGTTAGCAAAAAAAATGCACCTAAGCATTTTATTATTTTTAAATTACAGTCAGAGATTCCAAGAAAAGGTATTTCGTTTATGAAGCTGCTAGATTAAAGAAGAACGCAAAAAATAGATCATTACTGGCCTGTTTTGATAACTTTGGAAATGGGATAGTATACGATAATGTCGGGGGTATCAGGTGTGTAAAATTACTTATAAAGCAACTTTGTAAGTTATTACAACTTTTTATATTATTAAGTTATTACAGCGAACAATGTAAATTGACAAAATTGTTCACTACTCTTTACAGGCTTAAATATAATCAGTCTGAAGGCATTGTTTTTGATGCAAAGATCGGTCCATTTGGTAGATGGAAATGGCATAACCTAAATGATCCGCCAGTTTTAGAACAAGTCTTTAAAGATAATTGCTTGAGTCCTACTGACGAATTTATTAGTAAAATAAATGACGACATAAAAGGGGTTGATTTTAAAAGTATACAAAATAAATTAAATGAAGAAATCGTAGCTATTGAGTTAGATAATTTTATAAAAAAAACGTCAAAGAAGGTACTTATGACGTACAAACCATTTGAAATTAGATCGAAAGTGCTTAAATTGAACGAATATTTTTCGTTAAAAATTATCAATCAATCAAAAGTTTATCTTTTCTTTAGATGTGCTGAAATTTTCTTGAAAATAAGTTTAGGAATCAAATTAATGAGTAATGAAATAATAGGCACAGAATTATTAGATATCGAAGAGGTTGTAACTCCCTATGATAATCAAATATTAAAATAATCAAAGTTAACAATTTTCTAGAAAACGCTTAATATATTATTTTTTCTTCAAACTATAATTAACTGGAAAGCCTTTTAAAACTTCATAAAGGAAATTATTCCTTAACTTACTTATTAAAAGAAATGGCCATAAATGCACCTTACATATATCGATTATTTAATAACATTATTTTGCTATATTGTAATTAGTAACGAAAAATATAATTCGATTCATGTTATTATCGCATTCCTTAAAAAAACATGTAAAGTACAGAAAAACCCTTTCGTTTTATTATGTTCATAAATACCGTTGATATGCACAATGCTTACAAATAATTTTAGCTGTGAAAACCTTTTGCACAGCCTGGTGGTTATGTAGTTTCAGTTTTAACACTTGTATAATATTTATTTGTAATTAATCAAGTTAACAAATTCAAAAAAAAATCAGACAAAAAAGGCCACTGATGCTTTGTTGCTCTACTGATCATAAGATAAACGCTACTTTTACAATAATTAGGCAGTAGGTGCACTGTTGCTTGGTGACAGAAATAAGAAAGAGATTGGTATCTACCAAGAGAATGAATCATAAGTATATAGCTCAATCAGATACTATGTGTTCTTAAGACATTGTGTGATATAAAATGTGACTAGGTCGGGTAAATTTTTGCAATATTTGTTTGCATTGTTAGATTGTTACAAGAAAGTACGTATATTTGTTTCATATAAGTTTTACTGTTTATTTAATTTGCGTGTTATAAAGTTGATGGTTATTTTATCCATAGTTTTATTTCTTTCTTGTTTTATTTCGGTTTCATCTTCTTTCGCACCATTGCCAAGCCATACGAGTCCACATATGGACATCGGCCTCTCAGTTTTTAAAATAAGATTTGCCTTAATAGCCAGGCTTGGCGATCCAGATGCTTCTGACCTTTGATGACACTTCCCTTTGCTAGTCTTGGTATAAATAAGACCAGGATGATCATTAGAGTCAGCTTCTAAGAGCGTTCAAAATGTTGACCTATTTCGGTAGGGTTGACACAGGATATAATGAAATAAACAAAAAGTTCATCAGCTTTTTATTATGTACATATGATAAAACTTATTCTAAATATTTTCTAATAATTTCATATTATTTGTTTTTGAAAAAATTATGTGCCTTTTAGTTGAACGGTAAATTTTAAATGTAATATAAAGGCACTTTCTTAAGCTGCGTATCGACTTCGCGCGGCAAACCATCGAACATTGGCACGCGCGGCAGCTGTGCACAGTGGATAGTGGATACTGCGTTGCCGCGCGCGGCAATTCGAACATAGCGCACTCAAATATATCTCGCGAAAAATCAATCTATGTCAAGTTTTAACGACGGCAAAGGAATCTCAGCGAGTTGTGCTCGCGCAGTTGGAATGGTCGTTTACGTATTTTAGTTGGCGCGCGCGGGAAAAACATGGATGGACAAGTGTCGTACTTTAATTAGATTATATGGTATTAAACAATTTCTATGGAACAGATAATTTAGTGATTATCACAACAAATCATTAAGGAAAGATGCAATGAAATCAGTGCAGAAATGGGCTTGCCCGTTGCACTTCGCCGACGTACAACGTCCATGGTTGCCGCGCACAAAATGAACGTTCGTTTGCGGATCGGCTGCCGTGGGCGGCTGCCTCGCTGTAGTTAAATTGTGTGCTAAAATTGGCTTGCGAGACAAAACCCCCGGGCATAATTTCGCGCGGCAGCCGCGCAAAGTCAATACGCAGCTTTAAATAATCTAAATAGAAAGCAATCACACACACATACATGCGGATCAAATAGCACTAAGCTTGCCAGAAACAAAGAGAAGTAGAGGCCGCCCGCCAATGACCTGGTGGTCTAATATCGCAAAAGACCTAAGGAAAGCCCAGATGTGATAACCCAAAAACATTTGTCTTGGCGTAGACAAGTGAAGAGACCCGAGCCCAAGTAACGGGATCAGGGATGGAAGAAGAAGATGTCACAAATAAATATAATAAAATGTAAAATAATTCTGATTTAGGTAACAATATTATAATAAAATCCCTTAAATAATAAATACTCTGATACTCTGCAGTCTGCATTGTTTATTCCATTCACCTCTTTATTCAGATCATTCGGGATTCGGTCGGTTTTCGGCTCACTCACAATTCACACCAATCATGGGTTAAAAATGTTCCGTCAGTTGTTTGTGATTGGTTGTACCAGTACATTCAAAAACAAATGAATGTAACATCAATACTTTTAAGTGTCTGTAAGTGAAAGACTGCCTCGTTGGTCTAGTGGTTCTAGTAGTGCGATTGCTGATCAAGAGGTTCTGGGTTCGAATCCCGGGTCGGACCAAAAAAACAATTATTGAGTTTTCTATCAAGAAATTCTCTCACAGTGTCTCACCCCCATGCCTCGGAAAGCACTTAAAGCCGTTGGTCCTGCGCCTGATCTCTCTCCCGGTCGTGTCGGTTAATCGTCCCATCGGATTATGAGAGTGAGGGAATAGAGAATGCACCTGTGCTTGCGCATACACTTGGGCACTATAATCCTGTCCTGCGCCGATGGCTAGCCTCCGTTGAGGCAGGCCGCCGTGGCCGAAATTCGGTCTGGAGGATTATTACTTTTAAGTGTACCAGCTCCTTAGAGTAATTACTACCATGGGGAGAGTCCTAAAATAGGAACGAAATACCTATAGCTGAAGCCCTTATACATATGACGTTTAACATAGTACAAAATAAGATAGCTATATTATTCTCACCTTCTTTCTTTTACGAGGTGGTTGCCGTTTTTCCATTCCATAGACACTGTTTGTGTCTATGGAATATAAAAAACGGCATATTGATATGCTATTAGCGAAAGAAAAAAAAATGTCGATAAAATCATTTAGTCTATGACTTAGTAAAACAAAGATTTTTTATTAATCCGGTTCGTAATACTTATTTATATCAACAAACGTTTGTGGAAGCATCATCTGACATGTTACAACAAAACGTAGTTGAATAATGCAGGATTTCGTACTATCGTTGTATAATTTAAAATATATCAGGAAAAGTTCACTATGAAATCTACTTCAATTCAGCGGATATATTTCTGCCAAATTATCCTTAGACTTAGTATGGGTTTCACAAGGGATAATAACTGTGTTTGTTTTATTAATACTTAGTTTGTGTCACGGAACGTACACGGAGGACATATCCAAGACAGTTATATTTAGAGAATAAGGGTGCAGATGAGCACACAGTCAACCTGATGGTTAGTGGATACTGTGGCCCTTATTTAGATGTCTAAAGACTGCCCTTTTCCTTTCTATATCATCATTCGTACCGCTAGAATTACCAGCTTTTGTTGCTGGTAAATCTAGCCATGCTCTCTTCTTTGCTTTGACTTCCATACATACTTCATCATCGTACCATAACGTATTATTTTTCCTTTTATTCGTTACTTACACCACATAATTCGGTAGCTGCATCCAATAAATCTTTCTTAACTTTTTGCTATACAATCTCCACGTCTAACTAATTCGTACATAATTTAACCAACCCCTTTTATTTTCTTTCAGTCTACATGTGCACTTATTTTTCTCACCTTTATCTTGTAACCTTTCTGTTCTAATACGCTGTAAAGCAGTGGTAGACACAGATGTCTGATGGCACCAACATCTGAATGGACCACTAATTCGACATAAAACCAAATAAAGGAACGGGTCATTCCTACGTTGGAGCCCCAGTAAAACCGTTGTATTTACGACTGCGCTCTTCATTCTTTCATCCACAATTATAAAATCTATCATGCTTCTATCATCCCCTCTTTCCCAGTAATAGTGTCCTCTTTCCAAGTATACATGTGAATCCTTTTGTGGCGAAAGAAAGTGTTCGTTACAAAAATATTATTTGTCACTTTAAAAATAATGAGTAGGTATTAATCAAGTACGAATTACTTAGTGGAGTCCTTAGGATAGTGAAAAAAAATTGAATTTTTATTAACTTTATTTACCTTGAACTGGTTACAATATTATAGCAATATTATAATATTATGCTATTAATAATAATTGTTAATTGAAAAAAAAAATATATATATATGTTCTATTATTATTCATACACACAACGCAGTAAAAATAAAGTTTATGTAAAATATAAAATATTTACATTTTTTATATTTTACATAAACTTTATTTTTTACTAATTTATTATTTCTGAATAGAAACGAAACGAAAATAGGCATGATGCGCGACGTGTTCACCCTGAGTACTCTGGTTCTGTACTCGGATAGCCATCGTAGCCCAAACACTTTTGTACAAACACTTCAGCATTTCAATATACCAACAGTCAACTTGGCACTGCTGAAGAGACTGCAGCACCACCCAAATTCTACGAAATCAAAGTTTTTCTGATAGTCCACATACGCATAAGAAAAGGGCAAATTTTAATCTTTAGTCTTCTGTACAATTTGTACAATAAATTTGTCGAAGTATATGTGTATGGTCAATGGTGCTAAAGCTTTTTCAGAAACTGGTTTATTTAGGTGGCTGGAAGTCACCACACATTCATAATGACTCTCGAAAAAAGCACGTAGACGCGACTGAGAAAGGAAATCGGTCTCCAAGAGAGAGTTCTCGCCTCTCTTGAAGAACAAGACATTTATACTCTACGTCTTTGGAGTGGTACCACTATGGAGGACGGAATTAAAGAGCTTCTGAAGGACTTCAAGTAGCGGTTTTCCACCCGCTTTCAGTAGCTTCGCTGTAATTTTATCCTAATCTCGTTCGGACTGACAGTCGTGATATCATCGAAGTATCGGATAAGACTTGCTCTTTAATCGTTACACACACTTGCGTGTGGCTCCAACGATGTCATGTACAGCTGCCCATACAACCTTTAAATCTCACTCAAAATGTCAGGTGCCCGGAAACGATGCTGCTACGGACTTCAGCTTCAACATTTGAATTTTTCAGGTAGACAGTTGTCTTGCAAAGACCCTGAAGCCTTAGTTTCACTCAACAGCTTCTTCAATACGAGCTCTATT